TTAGTAAACTGTTTACGATGGCGTAACGTTATCATGCTTTTGAGTTGTTGTTGCCAAGCTTCTCTTACATTAGTTATTATTAATGTAATTACATTAATAACTATAACTTATTAATATAATTATCAATAATTTATGCAAGGATATTAAAAATAAATGTTTGAATAAAATTATGTTACAGAGAAATCTGGCCTGAGAATGACTGTTTCGGAAAAGTGGACATACTTCCCGAGGAAGAATTTCTAGCTCTTCACGAAATCTTCTTTACAGATCTGGGTGGTGAGTTATTTTATTTTCAATTTTATATCTTTGATAATGAACATAAGCATTTCTTAATAATGTTCTCAAGATATAAATAATTTGCGGCAATATACGTATTAATTAAATAGGAAATAAAATATGTATTGACAAGTATTAGCAATACTCATTTGCGATAGATTTAAAATTTAGTACTTTAAATTCTTTAAAAGCATGGATTGTTAATATTTTTTGCTCTTCTGAGGATTGCCAGTACAACTTCAGTCTATCGAGAAACTTATATCCTCTCTGCATATATATCCTGTGAGAAAAGAGTACCCTCCTGCTTTACGTTCGCCTAATTATAAAGAGCAAAGTCTGTTATTAAGTTAAAGCATGGAAGTAATGAGCTGTTTTCCTTCCTTTACGAAGGAGAGTTCGTTACGACTGCTGATTTATTGAATTATAAAGTTTGCTCAATATTTTGGAAGAAAAACTTGTACGTGCACGAAAGTGTACTAATAATTGCATTTTTTCTATATTTTTTTTTATTAAGAAAGTATCACAAGAGAAGAAAGATATATTAAATATACGAATTTATTGGAGGCTTTAGCAGGGACGATTTGTAATAACCGGCGCATATATCACGACACAAATTTAATTAAACGCGCCGTTGGTATTCATTTCACGCGCCTAATTTATGTGTGAATAACTACGCTATTCAGTGCTGAGATTTCGCGACGATTCGAGCTCGCCACGTATTTATCTCTGTATATTATCATCACAATAATAGCTATCATAGACGTTTAAAATCTTTTAATTTCAATGTTATACTTTTACAAAGCTTATTTTCATGAAAGAAGATAATTGTTGCATTTTAAAACTTCTCTATGTTTTAATTTACAACGTAAATTATTTTATTCTACAAAAATTGCCACTGTTATTAAATACTTTATTCGAATTGAGGTATATAAAGTGTAACAAATCGAAATCTTTTTCACAATTAAACAAATTTTTTAAGGTAATTTAAGAAGAAAAAATTATAATTTTTAATGAATTGTTTAATGAAATTTGTTTTACTAAGATAGAATGGTCATTTTATAATATTCGTTTCAAATTGTGTTTCTGAGACTTATTTGATTTATAAAAAATTGGTATAAATCTATTACATTTATCCGTCATTATTCCGTCATTCCGTTACGAATATACTAGTAATATTTCGTTACACATTACGCGTTGACTTCCTTCCGTCATACGTTGACTTCCGTCGCCACGAATGTCGGTGTAATAAAGAACGTTTACGATCGCATGAATTACAATCCGTTGCACTGAATTCCACAATTTATACGATATGACAATACTGTCGCGCGTCTCATTCTATAGATGGCAGCGGGCTGACAAAGTCGTTAAATGTTAATCTCTCTCTCTTTATGTCCTGCCAACGTACTGTACGTAGTCATTGTGCAGTCACCTACAGAGGGTGTTTTATATAAAATATCAACGCCATCCAGACTGTTTTATTTTACGACGTGAGTACGTCTAAAGCGCTTCTCCATTATCTTCACCACGCGTCCACGCGTCAGAATCGCGTGCGCAATCTTTACTGATTTTAAAATGATTCCTATTGTTCTTTTCTTTCTATAGAGAAATAATTTTTAAAAAGGGCGAGAAAAATCTCATATTTTATTTATTTTTATTAAGTGCACTTTAGTGCATTGGAACAACTCATATAAATATATAGAACAACTCATAAATATCTAATGTTAAAAATTGAGGATTTATGATGACCATTGTTTGAGATTATATAATCTTGCTAAAGAATAATTTATTTTAAATCTAGTTTGTTATCTCCTGAAAGTTTTATATTTTTATCATTACTTCTATTTCTTATTATTGAATTTTCAAATGTACGGTCCAGTAAGATTCTTATTGTTTTATATTTTTATAATATTTAAAAATATATTAAAAAAAAAATATATATATATATATAAAATAGATTAATACCTTGTAAATTTATATCATTGTATTTTTATTTAATTGTTTTTATCCTGTGATATATAAAAATATCGTAATATTTGATATTACAATGATATTTATCGGCAATTCGATGTAGTAACCAAAGAAATTAATTGCAGAGAGATAAATGTATTCCGGTGCTGACGCGTTGTATGGATTTTAGGAAGCGGGATCAGTCGATCCGATGCGTTAACTTCATCGATTGAAGTTGTTTTTCTGCATCGGCAGAATGCATTGGATTGCATCGGCACATACTTTATGCATCCGTATGCATACTTTATGCATCCGGCTGTACTTTGTGATTCGGTTATATTCTGATAGTTTTACATACACTATACATAATATTTGTTTCACATTGATAAAGCACATTGATAAAACACTCCGCGAAAATTGGCGGATTCGTAAAACAAGTTTTTCTTAACTTGCAGAAATATATAAGATTTGCCAGAATACATTTAATTTATATAATACATACGTGGAACTGATTAATTATTATTGTCTTTTATATCGATTCTGTTATATCGATTTAAAATTATCATTTAAGTGTCGCCATAAAAATTTTATTTTCTAAATTCTGCGCGATATATAACTTGAACGTCTAGATGCTCTTCGAGTAAACTGTCCCTTGGACTTTTTAATGATTCAGGAAGAAAATAACTTTACGATAACTTCGCAGAAAGGAGGTCAGAAAGGTCAGATTGAGAGAGGAACAAACGATTATTTGTCATCCGTGACAGGGATACTTCATCAACAGCATTTATAAATAATCCTGATCAATAAAAAGGTTTTGTAGCATACCGGAAGGTTTTATTTATTCATGTCTGTCTGCGAGTAGAACGATACTGCTGCCATGTATAAAGTATACGTTTCATCGACTTATATACGGTACAAAGTATGAGAATAGAGAGCAGAGGAAGATGTGCTGTACTTTGGCACGATTTTTCTCTTCTCTTCGCTTGATTCCAAATTGTTAGACCGAATAGGTGATGGATGCTCGCGTGTAGTCAGCCCATGTGTTCTTTTCACTTCGAAGTCGAAGGTTTGATGAATGAAGGTCGAATTGAAAAGTCTTGGCGGAACGTCTGAAGCGTAGCGACGAAATTTGCATGCTGCAGTCGTAGCGAATCTTTTGTGTTCTATTCTATTGGTACACATTTGGTTAACTAATGCATTTCGCCAAGGATTTCGAATTTTCTTGTTATGTCAATATTCTCAAATCTACGATGTTATCGTAGCGAAATTAATGTTTATTTCAAAGACTCGTTATAAAATAAATTCAAACACGAACATCACTATTTTATTGTCCGTGAAATGAAATATTACATAAAATCTTTTTCCACTCGTAGAGATACTCGCGTGATTTCTTATATTTCGCAAATATACCGAATACTCAAATAGCTCCATAGATCTTTTCACTATCCCTACTCATCGAGTTGATACTGCCATAATAACTTTCCTTATTTACCGTAATGCGGCAGAAAGTCATCTCTGACATTTCCTGGAAAAGTACCGTGTACCTAAAATACGTAGATTGGAGGCGCCGGATCTCGGCTGCATGTCGAGGAAGAGGAGAAGTGGCTTCGAGAGGTATGAAAGAACTTTTATCGGGGTGAAAACTTCGTCTTCCTTCCGAGCGGTGTGAAGCCATAGGAACGAACGAGAATTATTTAGTACAAGACGCAGGGTAAACAACAGTTGTACTATCAACATTTGTTCCGACTTTTATTCTTTTTCGAGCAACTTCTGAAGCGACCCTCTGACGATTCTCCTCTTCTACGTTTGGTAGAATGAAGATGTTATCGGAAAATATGCATTATTCTCAATCAGCTTATACTTCGCGTTGTGTTGCGTGCCGATTGTAGGAATTGAAGTTAACAAGCAATAGCGAGATTGGCATTTAGAGCGTAAATCCCTTCAGTTCTGAAGAATCCTTTATAGCACACTAAGCTCGATTGATTATTTTGTTATTTTTTTCGCATCGGAGAATTATCCTTTTCACTTTGCTATACCGGCTTGGGTGAACAATAATCAGATCGACGTTACGGAGGATTTGAAGCAAAGCGAGGCTTGAAATTTACATCATGCTTGCTCGAGCGATCGCTCTACCATATGTTTGCATTCTCGTAACGTCCTTCCTCCTCCCCGGACATTGGTCCTTGAGGTAATTCCGACAGAATCGCTTGCTACATTCGCTTTCCTCGATCAAATTGTGATGTACTGTATTACATCGTAACCTTGTGCGATTTCAGAACAAACCAGCATAATGTTGCTTGTTGAATTTGTTGGTTTTATACAAGATTTAATGTCTCCAACACAGAATTCTAATTTTTGAAATTAGTATAATTTACAACTTATCTTTTCGAAGAAAGGTTGAATATAAAAAACTATTTTTTTAATTGCTCAGCTATACATTCGGTGAACTTCGTATATTTTTTTAAGAAAAATCTTGCTTGGTTAAATCTTGCTCGGTCGTATACCATTAAATATTTGTCATGTTTATATTTTTATTCAATTTCTATTTTTCAGCTTTTATCATTTTGTGTAATATAAATTTAAAAATGAATATTTTATACACCAATTAAAGAATTTTTTAATTGACTTCTTATGAACAAATAAAAACGTTTGTATCGTTCGAATCATTCAAGTATCGAGTGGAACGTTCAGAGGGTGTGCTTCAACCCGACATTTAGCGGTGTTTCAATATCGAGGAGACGATCGCGGTGCGTTAATGTCTCTTTTTTGTCGTTTTCCTCGGTGTCGATGATACGATAGCCTCTTCCCTAACGACGTATAACCATTAATATGCAAAAACGGTACTCGACGAGTTCATTCATTTTATCACGCCTTTCCCTGTCCCTCGTTCTCCCTTTCCCTTTCTTTATTGGCAGTAGATATTTTATCTTTGCTATTCTTGTTCGAATATATCTTGGGAGATATTCATATGAAATATATCGGATGGCTTTTCTCTTTCTTCCGTTCTTTAAACCCATTGTGGGGAGAATCAGCAGTTAAAAAGAAAGATAATC